AGACAACTCGAGTTGATTCATCAATGAAATGAAAGCAATATGAATATAAGTCGGAGAAGACACATATTCCTTGTTCGATGTTTTATAGTACATCCATTTCGCCAACAATCAACGATAAGCCCTTCGAGATAAAGTACCGATCAGATTTGTTCCAACATGCAGCCAAACACAATCTCCCAAGCGAAACACGTCTTATAATATCTTACGAGATCTGATGTTTTCTGTGAAACATTATAATAAGATTTAATAAAATCATATTGACGAGTCTTTTGCTCGGGCTGCGTAAAACAGACCAGGAATCAAATAAATTAATAGATTTTGGAAAAATATTGCAAATATCTGAACGAGAACGACAACGATTTTGCCGTTGAAGTTCTGAACTGTCAACGGTATCTTATCAGTTTCATTTTATTCTATTTGATCATACAATTCATAATTCTGATTCTTTTTTTCTTATATGGGTACACAACACGTTTTCTATTAACGGATGCTTTGACCTATTGATGATGAAACATAACAAATGAAAATCATGTTTAAAACAATTTTCAATTTGTTTTTATATCAACAAACCCAGCGACAACGACCGAGGTAAACAAGAACCCAGATGGTTGTGTTGCTGTTGGAAAAAAATACCAGATAAATTTTTTTCCTGCACAAAGTCCCGTTTTATAAAAATTCAAGTAAAAATGGCGAGACAACAAATGACGATGAATACCATAAAATATGTTCACACGTTTAAATGCATTTCGAATATCTTCTTCAGTGTACATATGTAAAAGAATATGATACAAAAATGAACAACATGTGGCTTATATAACGAGGAATGACATGTCAAAAAGAAGCAATAAAAATTGAGACACCTAAGAACAGAAAAGCTTTGGATAGGAGCGGATGAGAACAGAAAATGGAAGTGTATGGTAAAATGTGTAACAATTTGATATTTTTTATTTTGCGCGAAAAACGTAGACACTTGACATACGATAGTGCTTGGTGGCAGTGAGTGGTGGTGACCCTGAGCAGAGGCAGAAATGTAGCGTTTTCGGTAGGAGGTTTTTCGACGTTCGCGTAAGGTTTGGTGTTATGCGAAAACCAAATATGGGCATGGTAGGCTCAAGAGGTGTGTTGGTAAATGTTTGCCGCCATAGCTGGTTGAAACGTGGAGCGAAACGGTTTAAAGATGGCGTGTAGGAAAAATGTATTAGCAGGTCCATATCCTAACTGATGGGCACCGTTGTTTGATCGACGGGTCCCGCTTCCTCCAGTCCATTTATCGTAGGTGACCGAATAGGTGTCTGAAATGCAGTAAGACGGGTGGTGAAGAAGATGTCATCTCTAAAACGTACATGCATCCGCCCGTCTTTGTGGCGCGCAAAACGCGGCCTCCCGATCATCATTTACGCATCGGCGAGGACTCGAGTCACTACTGATCCCATGGCGCTTCCAGGGAAGCGGTATGCTTGAAGAATTTCTTCTCCTAGTAAAAAATAAAGAGTTTCTGAGCACATGTCGAATAGGGGTCGCAAATGTGTTTATCGCGATACCGGCAACCTTTCTACTTTCAGTGCGTGCAAGCATTCGGCATATGGCTGCTATGGAACCTTCTTGCGATATCATGGGTAGAGGTAATTTTTTCGAAAATGGTCGCTGAAATCTTGTTATTATTAACAAGTGATATGAGCAGTTTGAGGTTTTAGAGTGCATGAAAAAGAGGGAATTATCCGGTACCCCGGCGTACGCATCCGTTTTCAGCATGTAATGAAACTTCTGATTTTCGACTAACTTTTGAAACCGTGTCCAAATGTAGGACTTTCAATTTATCGGTCAATCGGAAGACAGTCTCCCATTTTGTTGCTGCTTTGCAAGTGAATTGATAGTACATTGAACGGCTCTATCATATGTCTGTAGGAGGTGTTCACTTGTAATCAGCTGGCTAATGTCATTGGTGTCGTCGCCATTGTGATCTTCATCTGATCATCGACACCTGGTGATGACATCGGCGGCTGGTCCACGGCCCAATAAGGGGCTCTAGGGCACCAGGTCCTCTTCATTGTGTTAATTGTTCGTGAGCTTTGGAATCAATCGCGGGCACTAGGTTTCATCTCTTGTACATGCACGACAGGCACCATGACGTTGAATAATTGTTGAACTAATAAATCATCTAGCTGTTCCACGATCAAAAATGGGAATTGATTTATAAAGCAACAAAAAATGGCTTTCGTGTCGAAGATTTTTATCGTTGCTGCGATAGTAAAGGATCAACAATGACTGTAATTCAATCGAAAGAAGGCAACTATCTATTTACTATCTTCTATACTAGTATGCCTTGAACAAGAAATGAATCGTATGAAGTTGATGACACTGCATTTCTGTTTACTTTGCTAAATAATTCACATAACATTTTACATTTTTAAGACACCCTGGCAATTCTTGTTAGTTAACAGACACGCCATAAACTTCAGACTTCTACCTGTGTGGCTCACGTATACTGAGTTTTATCAGTTTCATAAAATTTACGGCAGGGCGAATGTTTAACATCTTTCAAGTAAAAGACAAAGAAATGTCAGGTTTTTACTACTGGTAAGAGAACTTCGGAGACCATCTGGAAGGCCATCTGGAAACTGAGTTTAATGGACAAACTCTTCCTTCTTTTTTTCATTGAATATTCTGAATCTGTAAGAAAAGTCGAGTCTGTAAATGCGAAACTCCTGAATTATGGATTTAACGTTACTTTTGGAAGACCAAATAATATCTTTTACAAGAAAAGTAAGGCTGTTTTTCAAACTATATAAGGGCACTCTTGCCAGTGGCGTAAGAGTTCTCAATTCGCGTAAGGGCGCATCTTGCGAGCGCATAAGCAGGGAAAAGGGGATCAAAATTAACTATGAGGACTTTCTAGAGTATAATAATGAAACTTCTTATTCTTTGTATAACAAAAGGAGTTTCACAATAAAACGTCTCGCACCATCCAAAGGTGTAAAACTGTTTGCGGAAGATTGCACGCCACCCCAAAAAAAGGTTCGAGTTTTTAGTTTCAATTCCAACACACCAAGAATATACAGCTACAGATCGTATCCTCAATCTCATTATTCTTTAAGGCCAGACAAGTCTATATAAAACTAAGTTTTCCAAAAGCAGTTTTCGAGTCTACTGTAGCTAGCAAAAGAAAAGAAATGTGACATACATTATATAAAAAAATTATGCTGTAACGTTATCCGCTAAGATAGCACTCTTTAAAAGCGTCTTTCCATCTAAAAGGTGATTCATTACTCATTAATCTTCGTTATAACTTAGGCTTGTCTGTATCACACACTACTTCAGTTTCGGAACAATCTCTCACATTTTTCTTTGTAAACATCAACATGGTTGCGTGCTGTGACGCATAGATGAAGAAAGAACGAATTACACAATCAAGCGATAGAAAAGAAAAGAAAAGAAAACAATAAAGAGCAAGTGAAGAATCACAAAAACACACATTCTGGTGATACGAAGGTAAAAAATAACGATATGATGGCTGTTGCTGCTGCTGCTAGAGCGTCTTTTTTCATCTCCGCTGCCGAGCAAAAACTGATTGAAAATTGGCTTGAAGAGATTAAAGGTGAAATAATGGAGATTCAGAATAAGAAGTGGAAAGAAACGAGAGATTATGTCTACTACGGCCCAACCGGTGGAGGCGTGGCCTACATCTTCACCCCAACTGGAAGCAGCAGCAATAATGAAGCCACGGCTCAGACACACTACACTCTAACGGTTGAAGAAGCACACACGAACAAACAGTTCAATGTCACAGAAGCACTGAAGGCGGTAACGTATCTTCACCTTACCATAACATAGTACAGCTCTGTAAATTGCTTACTTTAAAGATAGCCGCAAACGAAAAGGATGATCAACAATCTGCTGAAAGCTCGCCTATTCTTCGAATATCCGAAGTTGAACGTCTTCGTATCGATCAGTTCGTAGAAGATATGCAAATAGACGACTCTGCACTGATTTACAGGTTGACTCCAACTAGTATCGGAACAGTTATTAGAGTAGTTGATCCACAAACGAAGAGAGTGTTTGATGCAACTGACTATGACTGCTGGTAAAATGTTAGTTTAAACGGACTTTTGGTTATATGAATTTTTATAAAATGTTTTTCAAGAAACTGTTTTGCTATGGAATTCTTCTGCATCTCCTGAATCCAGTTAGTAATAAAAAAGAACGAAATGTTGCGTAAAGAACAGACTTTACATGAAATTGATGTTTTTAACTTAGTAATTCACTTATTGTTTTCTTGTTTAGTTAATCTTTTCTATTAAGTATTGGACTTTTATATTTTTATCTTCGTTCTTTTTTATTCTTTTACGTTTCACAGTTGACTACTTTAAGCAAATATATAAGATACTAATAATAAAGTACTGACTTGCAAGTAACAAAAACATCTTTTTTTGAATAAACAGTTATTGAATGATTCCTGTAGCCTCTGCAAAAATTCAGGCATTTTTTAACCGGCATCATATTTTTTCTCTATTTTCAATTGTCAATTGAGGAAATGGAAAGCATCATATCTGTATAATACTAACGACTTCATAAACACCAGGACGAGTTCAGAACTTCTGAATGTGGAGTATTTAAGCTATTCTATATCCTGTTTCTAGAAGATCTGAAAATAAATTTTAAAAAACCCTACGGTTTTCTAACAGGGTTTCTGGAAAGCCTATTCACAAAAATATGCTTTTCGATTTCTCCGATCTTATAATCACGTTCAGCGGACAACATTAACCATATCCTGAGATTTTGAACTTGTCTTGATGTTTAGTGAGCGACTAGTGAATTTTTTAATATTAGGTGAAAACAGCCTGAAAACCCTAATTTTCATAAAACTGGCTTTTCGGTAGATTTTCAAAACTTTTTCTAAAAACAAATATTGCCACGAGACTCGACATGATCGATTATCCATAGTCCATCCGTCTTTAAGGCTACCAAGACTCACCGGGTGCCAGTCCTGGGACTCATCGGAAATGCGATACAACGCCCGAACCGCAGAAAATCAAGGTCTCACTTACTCCCATTTTGAAGAGAACACCCTGGGCTATCAGCACATGAAATAAGTCAATAGATTCCTGTTTGAATTTCGGAAAGTGTAAGCTAGTTTTCCAAAGATCTTCTGATAAACCGGCTTTGAAAACTTTGTCGAGCATCAGTTTTGCTTATGAAAAGGTAGCCTCAAGCCTTGGCTTTCGAATGGCGAAAATCGCCAGTCTCTATCTTTATCTAATGCTAAGTTATTCAAAAAGTAACCACTGCTCTTGTATTTTGGCTCCGATAGTAGTCTACGTCCAAATGGTCAAGTGCTCGTTCCTACATGTAATTGCATTCTGCCAAGTACATTTTCAACATGACAGCAGGATGATATATCAATGAGAAAAAACAATCACACGAAAAATGTTTGAAATGATAGCAGAACAACGACAATTTTATGATAATAATTACGGTTGTAAATGGAAAGTCATCAACAGCGCTATCTATTAACCGACGTATTCCTCAAGGAAGCGTCCTCAGTCCGATCTTGTTTTTAATTTATACTGATGATATTGGCAACAATCTCGATTGTTTGCTGACGATACAGTAGTATACTACTCGCATATAGATGCGCATGTCCTGACAAAACTATTGAATGATGATATTCGAAAAGTGTATGACTGGTCCCTTCTTTGGCAGATACCATTAAATGGAAATAAATGTGAATGCATGACATTCAAGCAACAGCGGAATAAAATAATACTTGATCTCCGTATTAGAAATATTGTTGTGAAAGATGTTAAGAATGGAGCATGGAAGAAAAAGTTACAGATTGATTTTTGATCTTACGATTTTGTTTGCTGAAACAAAGAAGATTTTTCTAAAGTCAAAGATTTTACCTTCTAAGGGGACTATCGGTTTTGTACATATCTCAGTCCAAAATTTTTTGAATAGAATTGGTACCACAAATGTAGAAAACTATCTACATTTCAACAGGCATACTCTCAAGATATCTAGAGGGTTTCTAAAAAACCTTTTCACGAAACATCAGGTTTCAAAGAGTTTTTTTCGTGTCTGAAATGGAATGAGGTACTCTCATTGATTACTGCTGTACATGGATCACTAGTGTATATTATAATCAACTTTTTGAGCATCACAAAGAACGTAACTTAACCAAAAAACGCATTAAGAAATCGAAAGATGTCATGTAGCACTGTAAAACACGTATCATTCATATGCGAACAGTTCATAGACAGACAGATCTTACCTGAAGAATATTCTTTGAAACTTCACGTCTCGAGAAAAGGTTTTTTGGAAATCCTCTAGAGATCGGAATACAATCGATAGTCCCCTTGGAAGGCAAAATCTTTGACTTTAGAAAAAACTTCTTTGTTTCAGCAAACAAAATCGTAAGATCAAAAATGGATCTGTAACTTTTTCTTCCATGCATGGAGACTAGAACGGAGGCGAAAGAATTGTTTCCTCTCGTATCTATAAAAGACTTGATTCTTTTGCAAGGGATACATGTTGCAATTGAGAGGGTTTGACTCGATGTGCTCTTTCAAATGAGACTAGTTTGAAAAGAATTCATTCAGCTGAATGATGACGGACAGAGCACAAACAACCAAAATCATCAATATAAATTAAAAACAAGATCGGACTGAGGACGCTTCCTTCGCCAATACGTCGCTTAATAGATAGCGCTGTTGATGACTTTCCATTTAGAGCCGTAAATATTTTCCTGTCACTTAGGTAACTATGAAACCATTTTAATAACGGTCCTTGTATTCCTTTCGCTTCTAATTTAGACAACAACCCTTTTATCTACGCACGATCAAATGCTTTACTAAAATCTCAGAATGCTGTTCTTGTGACTAACTTTTCATCATTATTTAAATGAATGGAACGTACAAGGTCAATTAGTTGGTTAACAGTTGAATCTCCTGACTGATCTCAATTGTTTGCAAAGAAGACAGCATTCTGTTTGTACGCAAATACTGATAAACCTGCTTATGTTCAACTGTACCAAAAACCTTACTTAAAATTGCAAGAAGTGTAATCGGTCCATAATTAGAAGCACTAGACGCATCACCATCTTTGTGCAATTGTCAGGAAAACATACATATCAAGGAGTACACTCTAAAAAAAATGCGACTTCTAGAAAGACGCGGCAGTCGATTCCCATTTAGCCGCATAACCGCGCCTATTTTGCAGACACATCATGCGACTACATTTGGTAGTCACATCAATCCGTCTACTTCTAAGTCGCATGGAATACACTGAAATCGGTTCCCATTTAGCGGTATTTTAGTGACTCTTTTGCATCGCCATCCCACTGACAAGCAGGAGATTCACGGCCATTATTACTGGAATTCATGTAGATTTGAATTCGCCTTCAATCATCGCTGCTGACATTACTCGTGTGAATAACTTTGATGAAGAGAAGGAGGTTTTATTTAATATTGGCAATACATTCGAGGTATGCAATACGCTAAAGAATCATGCGAAAACAGTCAGATGGTAGTAAATCGTACACGAGTATATTATATACACATTACAGTAATGGAACAAAAGAAAGTGCCAGAACATCGACGATGAAAGCCCTAACTGGAAGATATAGCAGCTGGCCGCCTATTTGATGACGATGATATCCTTAAGTTTTTGTGGATGTAAACAGAACTATTTCAATAGACACCATCGGTACGTTCTTCCATCAGGACAGAAGAACCTTGAAAAGACTATTTCTGAACATTCGACGAATTTTGCTCGCTATGATGATTCAAAATCCAACCTATCGGTTCAATTTCAATTACTACAACCAAACGGACATTGTTACGAACAATTATTGCACGCCGTATTTTCGACGATACATGAAAGTGCACTAGCTAAACTATCAATGCTCGATTTTTGGCTGCAACTGTACGCCAATAATAACACGTTAGCAGACATTCGAAATTTTGCAGAAAACTATCGAGCTAAGGATTCTGTTTATTGGTACACAAAAGAATCTTTTGTTTATCGATGTGTGAACGAAACTTTACGCTCCGGAGATATTGACAGATGTTATTCACTACGTTTTTACATTGCCAATTTGAGTGCACAGCTTCATGCATTAAAATATCAACAACAGAAAACAATGGAGAAGGCAGGAATGACTATCCTGTATCGAGGTATTCGACAATCTGATGAAGAATTGGATATATTACAGAGTCTCGTTGGCACTGTTGTTGCCGTTAAATCTTTCATGTCAACGAGTAGAAATAAGAATATCGCATTAGCATATGCATCGCCATCCGATTGGCAAGCAGAAGATTCACGACCATTATTACTGGAAATTCATGTAGATTTGAATTCACCTTCAATCATCGCTGCTGACATTACTCGTGTGAGTAACTTTGATGAAGAGGAGGAGGTTTTATTTAATATTGGCAATACATTTCGAGTTGAAATGTTAACATTCGATACATCAGATAATGTCTGGTTGTGCCATCTCAAAGCCACAAATGAAAATCTTGCCCGTATGCAAGAATTTCAAACAATACCATTCAATGCATGTATATGTCAATTAATATTGTATGAAAGCGACATAGTCTGTTCAAATGAAACGATACGACATGAACAGAGCGACACTACTAGTAGTAACTTCAAGTCTCTGTTAAACGATCGACGAAAACTATCATGGTTAGCCTACAGACCGATCGAATTGGCGTATATTCGACATATTGATTGCATTATCCAATGGCAACAGGCTGATATTAATAAACTTCTTAATACATATGAACATGTTTTAAAAATATATGCGCAGGTCGACATACAAGATTCATTTGATGATTTACAAATTGCCTCTTGTATGAATAATGTTGGCTATATTAATCTATTATGTGGTAAGCATACTGAACTCATTAACTTGTTCAAGACTTCACTAAGCATACGACAAAGACTACTACCAGTCGATCATATACTTCTGGCTCAAAGCTATCGCAACTTAGGACTTGTATATGCAAATTTATGCGATTATCATACTGCATTTGAACTTCATGAACGTGCCCTAACTATCAACCAGCATACATCTATTGCAGCGCAATGGAGTACAGTTACAACACTGCGCAATATGGGAGACCTTTGTCATCGTTCAGGCAATTACACTAGAGCTATAGAGTACTACTCGCAAGCTATTGATACATATTACAAATGCCTGAACTTTTTTTAATTTAAAAAGATCATAAAATCTACTCGCGTTTAGGTGGGATCTACCTATTGTCCATTTCTGAAATAAGATGAGTGAACAAAACGCTTATAACTCCAGAACGAAAAGACCTAGACCTGCGGTTTTCACCGTTGAAACGAGCAGCTCACGGCATGTTTATCTATGTAGAAAGTAAATTTTTCGAAGAGGTTTTCCCGGCAGACCTCGTCCGGTAAAACCCGTAGTACCTCAAAATTTGTCGATAAAACAAATTTTTTTTTCGATCAGTCTAGCGGTAAAACGCGTCCTATTCCTAAATCTGAAAGAATGAGGTCGATATATCTTAAGGGGTCGGGGATACACCCAGTTTCCAGAAATTCTAAGAAAATAACCAAAACGTTTCGTAATAAGGCATGATTGTGGTCCAGAAATTTCTGATTAAAATGAGACGTTTCCCAGCTCTACATGACCTTTCTCTGTAATGTTATCGAATTTACAAGAAAAGCCCTAAATTGATTTCGCCTTATTTGTGTGGCTTTGAGCTGACAATGAACATTTAAGAATCAATTTAGGGCTTTTCTTCTAAATTCTATAACTTTGCAGAGAAAGGTCATGTAGAGCTGGGAAACGTCTCATTTTAATCAGAAATTTCTGGACCACAATCATGCC